ATTCAATTAGCTTTGCAATATTTGACAGGAGATGAAATGCATTTAGTAGTCATTAGCTCCAAACACCTACTATCATTCTCCCCCAGTGCTGCATTACCTCCCCACCTTCTTGACATCTTGCAAAGATCCTCAGTTTGCTTCAGTGAGTGAATGGTCAGAATCTGTTTTCGAATGGATTTGGTGTCATGTCTGAGCACAGAGAGAAGTGAATATAAAAAAAAAATCTTACTTTCTCATAGATGAATGCTCAGCAAATTGAAAAAGCACATCTAGAGAAATTCTTATGGGCATCCTTAAAATTTAAATATGTCTTTAATGTAGATCCATTAGCTTGCTATTATATGCTAAATGCTCTGAAAGTTAAAAGTATCGTGCACTAAGGTTTAACAGCTAAATGATGCAATAGATAATTATCTTCCCCCATATTTTGATTTTTAACCTCCAGGCAGGTTTCCCATAATGACTTACTCTTCAGTTGCCAAATAAAACCCATATTCTTATATCTAAAATGATATCTAAGGAGAGCATGCACATCTTGGGAGATGCTATGCATGTAACTGAACCTGCTCCAGTAGGATGATAGGACATCAACAGATAATTTAAATTGAGTTGTACTAAGGTTTAACACTAATGCAGTAAGTATATGTCTGTTGAGCTGTGGTTAAAATACCATAAGTAAGTAGACTAGAATCCAATTTGGCCTACATACCCTTGCAGGAAGATGCATCTCTGTGGGCACGTCTACACAAGACACTAAAAGTGCAGTAGACTAATTCTACTGCACATTAACATGTCATGGCGAAAAGCACTAGCGCACTAATGTGCAGTAGAATTAGTCTACCGTGCATTAGCATCATGTAAAAGATGTGCACTGGGGCTACTGTGCAGTAGCGTCATTTATGGTGCATTAAGTTAGTACCTGGTACTAAACTTAATGCACTAAAATTATGCACATATAGATGTGTCCAGTGTGAGCTGCATGGTCCTCGGGTTAAAAGGCTTGAGACTAAGCAGCGCTGGGCTCCCATTTGCTTCCCTTTGGGATCCTCCCCACCCCTCGGGGCAGCTGAGGCGCTTTGTCTTCTGGGGCAGTGCTGGGGTGCTGCAGGTTACCCATCAACCTTTGCACAATGTGGACCCTCACGTTTCCATTCAACCCAGTGTTAAGAGCCAACTGTGATTTGACATCCAATAGTCAACACATATTTTTTTCCTTAAAATCCTTTCTCTAAGCCAGTTTAAAATAGAACCTGGTTTTCCAGTGTACGTATGAGCTGTAAACAAGCAATTTAAGGGTAACTGAGAACAATTTAGCAATCCAAAGGGCTTCAGTTCAGCATAATCTCAGAGAGAGCACACACGGCTAAATGCAACTGAAACCCCGGTGTGGAGGCTATGTTTGCGTTGTAATGTACCTCAAACCTGCAGTTCATATTCCAAGCCAGACCTGCAGCATCAGAAGCTGTTTCCGACATTTAAACTAAATGACGAGTGTGTGAATCACAAGTGCATAACAATTTTTATTAGATTTGTCTTTGTGTGTCTCCTACTCCTGTGAATAATATCACTGCGCAAATCTGTGACAGAATGTCAATGATGATATGATGCAGGGGAGCAATGTAACGCCGCCAGCGCTGGAGATATTATTCGAACCCAAAGAAAATTACACATCTTCATCCTTGCTGACAACCTAAACAATGCTGCATTTGAAACATAAATGATACACTGCTTAGCTGAAAGAGCCATTAGACATATGATGGAGAGTGGAAGTGAGCTAACTGCCTTCTTAGAACAAATGGCGCTTCGTATTTTGTGTGAGCAAGGTGACAGATTTTTTTTAAATTTGCTTTCATATTTTGCTTTTCAAAAAGAAAACAAAATGAACAGGGACGACTGGAGACTGAAAATCTACATGCTGGAAGAGTGTTCACTGCTCCTTTCACACTGGAAACAGACTGATTGATTGCATCTCACCAACCTGAAGAGCAGCCCCCATTCCAGCATCTCTGTTTCTCATCACTTATCCAGTTTCTTGGTTCCTCTCCTTGTGAGTGTCCTTATCAAAAACTTTCAGTAAATCAGAACAACTTCTGTCTGCTGGGTGATCTACTTATTAAATCTATAGGCTCAGACTGCCTGGTTTCTTTATCCAGTTATGATCCTCCTTGTACAGCTCCTCCAAGCCACTAGAGAAATGAAGTGTGACACACAATAGTTGCAAGGATTTAAATCTGCATGTGTATTCCCTTCCACTAATCCTGCACTTTATCACAATATACACGTTGTTTTTGAAGTGCCAGCCTGCAAAAACCTTAGGGGGTGTAGCATAGCTTTGGAAATTTTTGTGTACAATCGGGGGGGGATCCAGGATTTGGCAAAGTGGGGTGCAGGAGCAGCAATCCGTGCTGCAGGAGTCCTCCTTTCAGGCTCCACCCTGGCTCACCACCACTGCTTTCCCTGCTGTCCAGGAGCTTCCAAACCCAGCCCCTGCTTAGCCCAGCTGGAGTGGGCAGGAGCAGCTCTGAAGCTCCCAGGACAGGAGCTCCCTGGTCCCCTGGACAGCAGGGAAAGCAGCAGCAGCAGGCAAGGGATGTGGGAAAGAGGAGGGTAGGGGAGGTGCCTTTGAGCACTGAGGGGAAAGGAGGGGGGAGTCTCACCTGCTTTGGGGACTTTAAAAAAGTCCTAGGAGGCTCCTGGGGCATGATCCAGTCCAAAAGCGGGGGTGCAGCCACCCTACTGCACCCCCTCTCGATGTGCCCCTGTGTGTAATCCAGTCCAAAAGCGGGGGTGCAGCCACCCTACTGCACCCCCTCTCGATGTGCCCCTGTGTGTAAGCAGCCTGGTGGGCCCAATTCTCCAGGCCAGCTGGGAGAAGCAACATATTTGGCCTGAAGTCACTTTTGCTTTCCCACACTGGAGCAACCAACTACTTGATACCATTTACACCAGAAGGTCATTATTCCTCACTTTCCACAGAGTAGGTTTCGCCAGGAGTGAAGTGACTAATAGCAGTGTAATGCTGCACATTGGGTGTCCTCTCCACTTTTATCACAGAGTAAAGTCATTTTATTCCACTGGTGCCATCTCCAGACCTCCGTGTTTGGAAGGCACAGCACAAAATCTCACCCTCTGTCCTTACCCACCTCATTTTTCCATGGCCTTAAATCTTCAGAAAAAAGAACACCTTCTTAAATACTTTGTCATACACTTTCAAAGATGTAACAGCACTGCTGAAAAAGAAATAGGTAACCCTGCACTTACCCAAATTGTGGGTGTCAATGCAAGTGTATCTCTGCCAGTTGCTGAATTGCATCTGATACTAGGTTCCTGTCTCATTAACAGAAATTTCAAATCACAGAGTCATTAGGTGGGATTTTTTTGCTTGTTTGTTTTTAAACACTAACCTTTCTCCCACAGTGCCAAAAACCTGAAGGTTATCTGTCTAATTTCAAGTAGGCTGGCTGTAGCTTCTGTACACTGAAATATTCATCCTCCCCACTAATTGCTGTGTGGGAGTTATTCACTGAATAAAAGAACCTTTTATACTTGCTGTTGCAAATATAGGCTCTAAAGCATCATTCCATTATATTCCTTCACTTTTTGTCATTGGAAAAGGTTACTCTTTCAATGTATTAGAGAGCAATTATAAAAAACCTTTAGATTGATAATGAGCTTGAATGATATAGAGGAAAGCATTCACAAGTGAAGCTTGGCATGTCAGTCACTGATTTAAATATACTGTAGTTGGGGAAAAAAGCCTTTCGTAAAAGAGCAAGCTTCCCATTCCCTTGGATGGTATCCTTATGCCAAGCAATAATTCTTATAAAGATCAAATCCATACTTCACAGAAACAGCATGGTGACCAGAGGCCTGATCTCAATTCCTGCTGGACCCACTGGAAAAATTCCCACTGATTTCAGTAGGAGTTGGATAAGGCCCTGCACAACGCAGGGAAGTTGTCTAATCTATCAGGCAGGATTAGCAAGTGATATTATTCTAGCCCCTGTGCTGAAATGTTGCCATCTTAAGAAACCGTAATAGCATTCAGCTCCTAATGAACTGAGGACAAAATGTTTCTTCAGAAAGGGATTCAATAGTCAGCTCCAGGAACAGTAGAATTTTGTATAAAACAGATTATTTTTTGACAGGAAGAAGCAACACTCTGCATTATTTACATTCAAATGTCTGTTATACTGATTATCGGGGCTAGACAAACTTAATTTTACCTCATTTTAAACTTCTCTTGAAGATGCTGGGCAATATTGTCAAACATGTAATCGGGCCCCTAAACCTCGATTTAGATTTCTAAATCAAAATGCCCTGATTTCCAGAAGCAAAGAGTGCTCACAGTTCCCAGGAACCCAGCACATTTGAAAGCAAGCACATACCACTGGAAGGGACTTACCAAGTCTAGTGCCCTTCCAGCACAGGCAGCTGCTTCATATAATCACTTTCCCAAACTGATCAGGCTCTATCCTAAGAAGGCAAGTTCTCAGCCTAGAGATCCATGTCTGAAAATATTGAAAATACTGAAATGGCACAAAAGCATGGCTGAAAACTGAGCATTTGGGGCACATGATCCTTATAAGAAAGATGGGGGGAAAGGAACTGGAAGTATCAGATGAGAAAAGGAATAGAGCAGGTCGAGTAGAGTGCAGAAAGAGAGAGGCTGTGAGAAAGGGCTGGGGTAGAGAAGAGAATATTTTCAATGAGAAATATAAGTAATTCTCCTTAGAGAAGTCACCTTTTATTTTTATCCTAGCTTCTGTGACTATTCAGCAATATATACTACTATACTAAAAGTTAAGATAGGCTTTATTTTAACAAGAGAAACGTTTTTTAAAGAAGTCTTTATAGGAAGGGGTAAGGTGCTGACTGCATAAACTGAAGCAACAATAGTTTGCTAAACCCATTAAAACTCAGACTCCACTAAGTTTGAGATTTTTCTATAAGTTCCATGGCTGTTTCAAATTATTTTCCCTTAGAAACACCACACCTAATGTTTTTCGTGTGTTCTTTATTTTGTTAAATGTAAATTAAACATAGCATTTATATCTGGATCTGATTTGAATGTCTTGATGCCAGTTAATTAGTATACCAGTTGCAAAAATAATTAAGAGATCTTTGTATAATATGCCGACCTCCAGCAGCATACCGTTGTCAAATGAACACTAACCAACAGGGGCCAAATTTCATAAAATCTTACCCACATTGGTATGCTAATTTCTCCATACATGTACCATGAACCCACTAAAGTTAATGGGGTTGCATCAACATGACTCAAAGAAGACTTTAGCCCTGTAACCATCTTCAGAATGCTAATTATATCATTAAAATAAATATGGATATCAGCATTAATTTGTACACGGCACAAAACAAGACAGTCATCAGTGTATCAGAGATAACTAGATTGAGTGTCACTGTAAGAACCTAGACTTCTGAGTACAGTGCAGTTGTACATCCACGGGTGATACTCTTCTTGTCCAAGGACATCTGGCCTCACGATCAGGTGGCATTAGAGCATCTGAATTGTAATGCACCTCATCTAGACAGAATAAACAAAGTGTGATTTTTGAGTAGCTATAGTTTCATTTCACCCATTTAGAAAGACGCCTTTATGTGCCGATTCTCGTTACAAAGCCTTATTAAGAGGGAGACAAGATGTGCTTGGGAAGGAAACAATGCCAGGCTTTCAAAAACAAATTCTGATTTGGGGCGCCCAAGTTTAGAGACCTTTAAAGTGTGTGTGGGGGGGGGGGGGGGGCACGG